CCCAGCAGGGACGAGAGCCTCGCAGGAGACACGTGGGGCTTGACCGTCAGCGCCTCCGTTGCCAGTACCAGTTCTCTCATCTTGTCGGGGTGAATCGTCACCTGGTACGGCCGCCCGTTCACCGTGATCCCGAGGCCTCGCTGTAGCCCAGGACCCCATTCCTCCTTGTGCACTTCGAGCCCCTTGTCCACCAGCACCTTCTTCACCGCCTCCTTGTCCACCTCGATGTCGCCCTCGAGGGGGTTGAACAGCCTGAAGCCGATGTAGTCGTCGATGTACAGCATCAGAATCAGCTGACACGTCTCGAAGGATGGGGTCGGTCTCCCGTAGGCCAGCTCCCCAAGGTCGTACCCTTTCACCTCCATGATCGAGTCGGTGAGGCACGAGTGGGCCAAGAAGACGGCCCACGAATGCCCCATAACGGGGGCGATGGCCCCCACTCCCCGATCTCCCTCGGCTGGCCGTGGTATGTCCTTCCCCTGTCCCCTCGTATACCCCCACAGCTCGCTCGGTGACACGTCTTCCAGCGCACAGTACTGAGCTAGCGACCTCGTCCACCTTGAGCGGTAGAACCAGTCTGGGATGTCCCCCGCGAAAGGGAACATTTCCTTCTCCCCCAGCACCTCGGGCGACAGATCCAGAGAGCCCAAGGCGCTCGGTGATCCCAGTCCCGTCCACGGCGGTCTCTTGAACCTCAGATTCAGACGCCGACAATCCCACACCAGCTTGGAGGCCTTGATGTCCGTCATGCTGCCTTCCTCCAAGGACTTCACCACTGTAAAGACCCCCGCGTGCTCTTTCACCTCGTCGACGAAACTCAGCATACCAGCCCCCCACATCCTGAGCGCCAGGGCTATCCGATTCGACCTGACCCTCCACCCAGGGTCGCTGTAGCTCTTCGTCTGCTGGTACCTCTCCCAGTCCACCTCGTCGTCGTCTCTCAGCATGAGCCCTTCCACGTTCTCCAGGCAGGGCCGTGCCGTTGGCGAAAGGCGCACCGCGTCGAGGCCCCTCGCCCCGACCTTCGGCACCGAGACCTGCTCCGCTATCAGGTCGCGCATGTCCCCCTTCTTCATGACTTCTGTCCTCGTCGTCGCCCTCTCCGACCTGCCGTAGCCCAAGACGGCCGAGAACCGCCCTGCCATCGTTGATGCCTCCCCAGCTGGCGCGCTCCGCCAGCAGCTCCCGCAGCCTGTTGATCAGCGTCCTCTGTAGTAGTGTAGCCGACGCCCACGTCCTCTTGCAAGGGCGTAAACGCAACTCCTCCACCACACGGGTATGTCCACAAGCCAAGCACCGAATCGACGCGATAGCTCGTGAAAGCCTCCTCCACGTCACCCTCAGCTCGCCCTCGGACAGCTTCGTGCCCAGGGACCCCGCCGCCCCAAACGGTGGGAAGGGAAGCTCTCGAAGAGGATCCCGTTGACGCTCATCCTCTCCAGCTCCAGAAAGCAGAGGACACCTGGACACCATGTTCCCGATGAGAGATGCTCGCCTGCTTGTACGTCCCCTCCCTGAAGTACAGGTGCCCTCGCAGGGCCAGGGAGAGGATGCTGAATAACACCAAGCCCGAGCGCCTACCAACGAAGTCCTTCCCACTCGTAGTCGACCAACCTTCGCTGAACCCACGGAAGAGGAAGCTACGCGGACTTGCGCCCTTGGCGTCGGCTTGGCAAGGAGGCGACGCTAACCTCCCTGCCGCAACCGATTCGTCCGCGTGCGAGTGGCCCGACGCACCATCACCGAGCGAGAGGTGCTTGTTGACGGCGGCCTTCTTCTTCAAACGTTCAGCAACCTCCTCGCCAGCAGCCATCGCGTCAGGCGTACTCGACTTGTTCAGATCAAGATACTCCTCCGCGTAGCCCTAATTGACCTTGCTCTTCCACTTCGAACCGTTGGCCGGCTTGGGACGCATCCAGTCCGGCTCCACTTCCACGTTCGCGTAGGCCTTGAAGATCGAGTAGATCCGCAGGCACGTGAGCTCGGCCGCCTGTGAGTTGATCAAAGTACCAAACTCCCCGCACATCATCATCTTGTCCAAGACGGCCACCAGCATGTAGATCTCGGAGGCTATGGAGCACTTCGTGAGCTCCTTGGAGCGCAACCAGTCCTCCAGCTCGGCCCTCGCTCCTCTCCCGCTCTTGCACAAGCGGGCGAGGACGGTCGGGGCCACCCGCGCACGAACCCCTCCGACTCGAGCGCCGCCCACATCACGGTAGGACTTCAACGTAGCCAACAGCCCGTCCTTGGGGTTATGCGCCACGATCTCCAGCTGCGCCACCGCCTCTCCTACGCTAGACGTGCCTGGCGAAGACACCTTCTTCCAACTCGTCTGAGACCCCGACGTCGGCGTAGTCGGACCTGGAGACCCTTTCGCACCTGCCGCTGCGTCCACCTTCACCGCCCCCTCGTGCTCTTGAAGCTTCCGCAAGAAATCGTCCACCTGAGCTTCGGAGGGCTTCCCTTGGTTCTCACTCTCGTCCCCGTCACTGTCGAAGCTGAGACGCTTCCGAGGGCCCCCCGATGCTGGCACATCTTCCCCCTTGCGCTTCTGGCCCAAGAGGTCGGCCAGGGCGGCGACCGAAGCCTGCAGCGTGTTCTGCCCCCTCGCCAGCTTCGCGAACAAGTGCCGCGAGTCGGGCTCGTCGCCCGAGTCCGCCACCGACGTGCCCACCACGACTTCTGAGTCGGAGGCCTCGCTCTCGCTATCGCTGTCGCACACCTTCCACATCTTGCCCAGGCCGACCCCACTGCTGATCAGCAAGTGGCCCAGGTAGACTGCCGCGATGCCGACTCCGAGCGCCATGCCGATCTGCTCGAGCTCCCCCGACTCGTACATCTCCTCGGCCTTCTCATACCATTCATGAGCTCCTTCTGCCACCTCACTGGCAGCCAGCACGGATTCGTAGACGGTGTGCAGCACGGGACCAAGCCCCAGCAGCTTCCAGACTCGCCATCCCAAGAAACATACTGCTATGGAGCCCCCAGCCGATCGCCGTAACCAGAGGATGCTCACGGTGTTCATCACTCCGCCCTGGATCCACCCGAACATGTCACTCTTCTTGCTCGGCATGCGCTTCTTCTGCTGCTTCCCCTTGGCGGGGATGGAGGTCTTCGCGTCCTCGGCTTCCAGCTCCCGTCTCGATATGAGCCTCTCCGAGGCCGCCAGCACTCTGTCCCTGCTCGCCGCACTCAAACCTGGATGTTCTGTCCAGGTCAGACCCTTCACAGGCTTCGTAAAGATCCTCTCCTTGTCGCGTACGTTGATGACCTTGACCCGCAACGTGGGTCACAAGCCGTCCACGTCGTGCTGTTGGACTTCCCGGTCCGTGACACTAACAGCATCACCACGCCCTGCGAAGGGCTTGTCTTGTAGTAGACCCTGTTCCACTTGCTCCACGGCGCCATCAGGACGGATGCACGGGTGCCGTACACGAGAATGTCGCCCGCCGACTCGTAGTCCAGCTCCTCGTAGGGCTCGACCTCCTCGGCCGCCGCCCACAGCGGACGGCCCTCGTCCGCGATGTCGCCCGCGTTCCAGCCGACGAGCGCGGCCACGCCGTACCACCACCACACCACCACCACCACCATTGCCCAGGGCAGCGAGAGGGGCTGTCCTCTCGCACTGCGGTGCCAAAAATTTGGAGGCTCGTAGATCTCGCTGGAAATCCTCGAGCCGAAACTTGAACGGCGGCGAAGCCGAGGAGGACGAGGCCGAGGACGAGGACAAGAGGGAGAGGGACGGCACAAGAGGGGGAGCACTAGCAATGTAAAAGTGCGTTTAGTAAAACATGTAGTTGAGCAGCCAGTGCTTTGTTTAAGGAGGTCTTGCACAATGCTCGTCTGCTAGGATGGAGCGTGCTTGTAATTTACAGTCGCATGCGCATGCAAACCGAAGCGCTCGCCTTAAGCGGCCCTGAATGAATGAACGAGGAGGACGCGGAGGGGGGTGGGACCCAATGTCATTAGCTACGATGGGGGCGGGGGAAACTACAGTGGATTTGCGAGGGCTCCACCCTTGATCTGGTGTTCCACATTGGTTCTGGTCCATTGGCCTTCATGACTCCACCTTCATTCGTGCTGCTGCTCCTCAACCTAGGGGTTGAAGAAGGAGGCGGAGGTGGAGGTGGTGATGGTGGCGCAGGAGTAGGAGGATGTCTGGCTAGCCTTTCCTGTCCTGATTGATCTCGGCCATTTTCTCTGGCGACGTAGTAGATGTTCTGAATTATGCGACCCATTCACGTTGATGAGGTAGCTTCCGATCCTTCTAATTAGTTCTGACCTGATTAGAGCCAGCGTCCTTATGGACGGAGTGTGCCAAAGAGGAAAGGGCACAATGAAAACATTGTCAAACGAGCACCATGGCAGTACCCGGTGTCTTCCATGCTTACGTATATTTCCAGCTTCTGCCGAGCTGGGGCCATTATGTAAGGCGCTTGCGTCTGTAGCAGGGGATGGGGGAGGAAGGGGGCGAAAGCACACCACCTTCACACCTCGCGTAACTCACACCTGCCGTGACAGTGCTGTCGCTTGCGGTGGCGCACTTCAGTGCAAGACTAATGTTACAATACCCTGCGCTTGCAGCGAGCTGCTGGAAATAATATACTCCTCCTGGACGAGGCCACCTCATCGAATACCGGTCGCGGTCCAAAGGTGAGCGATGGCGTGCGTCAGGGCACAACCGAAGTGTAACGCGTGATGAAAGCCCAGGTAAACCTTCACCAGCGCCTTCACCTGATGGGTTGAAATGTGATGTGATAGCAGGGGCCGCAATGGGCCCTCAGAGGCAGAAGAACGTGCGCCACTGCTGCACGGTGCGATCGCCACTTCCACCTATGGACCCTGTCATTTTAAGCCTAAACTTGCGAGACTGGGGCCACAGAGCGCGCGAGTGCCAACGCATGGGGTGAATGAGTTCCTTCTTTTCCTTTTTCTGCCTCTCCTCCTCCTCCTCCTCCTCCTTTTCCTCCTCCTCCTCGGCGTCCCCCCCCCTTCCCGAGGGCATTTGCCGGTCCCACAGAACAAGAACGCACGCCATCGGCGGACTGAAGATCAAGCGTCCGGCCGGCCCTGGCATGAAGCGCGACATTGGCTTGTGGGAGTTCCCCGGGTACCAGGAGCACCTCAACCTGAAGAGGCGCCGGCGGCGTAGTTGCCCCTCCGCCATCGTAGCAGACCCTAGTGCATGGTAGCTCCCCAGGACCCTTCCCGAGCCGACACATTGTTTGGGGGGCGTCCAAGAAGGCGGTTGGACTGCGCGCGGGTGTGTTTAGTTTCCGCCCGAATTGTTGATGTGGGCAGCATCTTCTGTTGAAGGGCACGAGCGCGGGAATTTAGTAAAAGTAGCGAGCGCGTGTTGGACTCGATGCGTCGGGGAGGCCAATCACACGCTTTGCAAAGGCACACTAAGAGCAACACTGTCTGGTCCATGCGCGGTGGCGGATTATCCGTAAGGGTTTCGCCCCCTACCGCCGGCCCGTTCTCTCGGATAATGCGCTATGCGAGAGCTACGTCATGAGGCCTGGGCTCTGTCGTGAAGCAGTATCGGAACTTCATGCGAGGCCGACTCGTAATCGGTAAAACCAACTGATCACCAGAGGGGTTACCACACCTGGCGATTGGTAAGACGTGTAGGGTTCACGGGCTTGGTTACCACACCTTGCGATTAAATTGCCGAGTGAGTTCTCGCAGTTGGGTTACCACGCCTTGCGATTGGGGGAACGCGCAAGTTGCATGGGTGGGGTTGCCACGCCTTGCGATTAGGTCGCTGGATCTGCCGATCTGTGCGAACGGCGCCACGAAACTTCAAGTATGAAGCAAGTCCTTTGGGTGTTCGAACCCTGGCCCCGCCGATCTGCGTGAGGGGTGCCACCGAATTTCAGAAATATAGCAAATCCCGTGTATGTGTGTGAATGAATGTGTGTGTGAATGAATGAATGAATGAATGAATGAATGAATGAATGAATGAATGAATGAATGAATGAATGAATGTGTGTGTGTGTGTGTGTGTGTGTGTTTGGACCTTGGCCCCGCCGATCTGCGTGAGGGGTGGTGCCAGCGAATTTCAGAAATGTAGCAAATCCCATGTGTTTGTGCACCCTCACCCCGCCGATCTGCGTGAGGGGTGCCAGCCACTTTCAGAAATGTGGCACACGCCATGTGTTTTTGCACCCTGACCCCGCCGATCTGCGTGAGGGGTGCCAACAACTTTCAGAAATGCGGTAAATCCTATGTTTTTTTTTGCACCCTGACCCCGCCGATCTGTGTGAGGGGTGCCAGCGAATTTCAGAAATGTTGCAAATGCTGTGTGTTTGTGCACCCTGACCCCGCCGATCTGCGTGAGGGGTGTCAGCGAATTTCAGAAATTTGGCAAATCCTGTGTTTTTGCACCCTGACCCCGCCGATCTGTGTGAGGGGTGCTACCGAAGTTCAGAAATGTGGCAAATCCCATCTGTTTTTGCACCCTGGCCCTGCCGATCTGTGTGAGGGGTGCCACCGTATTTCAGAAATTTGGCAAATCCAATGTGTTTTTGCATCCTCACCCCGCCGATCTGCGTGAGGGGTGCCAGCGAACTTCAGACATGTGGCAAATCCCATATGTTTTTGCACCCTGACCCCGCCGATCTGCGTGCGGGGTGCCAGCAACTTTCAGAAATGTGACAAATCCCTTGTGGTTTTGGACCTTGACCTCGCCGATCTGCGTGAGGGGTGTTAATTTTTACCAACCCCAGCAATTCAGACAACACGCTCAGGGCGTGCTAAACCTGCCCGTTTTGGGCCTCCCCTCCTCGCGCGGTCCATCAACAAGGAACAGAAAGCAGCAAGAAGCAGAACTGTAACTGTGGAAACTGGAAGCTGCAACTGGTACAGGAAACTGCGAACCTTCGGCTTACAGCCTGGTGGCCCCACAAGGAGGCCGGCGGATTTGATTGCATGTCCGCCTGTCATACCGTCAAGTGGACGGATGCCGGTGGCGTTTCAGGCGAAGGCAGATTGGGACGGAGTGCTCCACTCATGGGAAAGTTGCTTCCCGTCGACTGGGCATTCGTTTCACGTCTGCTCGGGAGCCACAAGCTACCGAGGGTTCCTGTGATGCGGGTGCAAATGGGAGCGCGCCCCCGCCAGCGTCCACTCTGAATGATTCAGAAGATTGAGCGTGTGTCCCGAGGGCCGCCCAATTCATTGGGATGTTCCCTTGCGAACTTTCCTTCATACCTGCCTCACCTCCCTGAATCGCTGGTGGAATCAACCAGAGTCCGAGATGGAGAGCAAGCTGCCAGAGTAATGGACTTCAGAGCAATGGATTTCCGAGTTGTTGGGGGGGGAGAATACCCGCGAGATGTCGTTTCTCGCGCGGACGCCGGAGTCCTTGTTCTCGTCGTCTTCCTCCTCCTCCTCCATCTTCTCGTCGTCGCCAGCCTCTTCCCCGTCTTCCCCTTTTTACCTTCTCTCTTCCGCTCGGAACGCGCCGTCGTCGACCTCTCTCTCTCACTCTCTTTCGAAGCCACATGTAGGCGACTCTGGTTGCAAGAGGGCCGTGCCATCGACAGCAGCTGACTGCGGTTTGCGTTCCACGTGCTGTAGCGCAGCCGCCCAGGGAAGGTGCCTCCCGTACGGGCGACCAATACATTGTTTTTGCAGCGCCAGCCAGTCACATGCCACGTCATATGCCTGTGGGGCGACCAACGGCCTGTGGGTGGCAGGTGCACTTGGGGGCGAAGGCGGGGGTCGCGGGGGCATCAGTGGATGTCGGAGTGCAGGGTCTGGACGTCGTCACTGGCAAGGGGATTCACAGCCCGAGCTGAAATGGGTGTCGCAACTGGCTTTGGCGCTGCGAGTGGTGTCCAGCACATGCTGTCCAGCGCGCCACGAGTACGGAGAGAGCCGAGAGTGGCGGCAGGGGTTGCCCTGTAAAGTTGACTCAGGCTCAGACCCAATTAGTAAGCCGTCCCGGTCGCCGTCAGTTACAATCCCGTGCTCCGCGGGTGCGTGACGAGCCAAAAACGGTAATTGATGTTGGTATTGAGCGCACCCAGGCCTCATCAGTTACAGTTGTGTTCCTTATTATGTTTGCGGCAATTTCGGAAGTGGTATCTGACACGTCTTTGAGTTGGCCCGGACGTCATCAGCTATTGCTGGGCTCCCAGCGCATGAGAGGGAGGGCGACCCAAGCACGTCATCAGGGTCAAGCGCGTGCTTCGTGTATGTATGTGCATGCGAGTGGAGCTAGCCAGAGCTCATCGGGCACAGTCGTGCCCACTTCGCATGCACGACGTGATTGCCGAATGCGGCAGCAGGCACCGCCATTCAAAGCGAACCCGAGCGGCAACTGGCGCCACGCGAGCGCGATAACAGCAGCAGCATCACCAGGACATCGTGATTCTAACGCTCACTGTCCGTTTCCACGTAGCCCGTTTCGAAGCGGGGGACGAATGTGGTTTCCAGACAGCGCGCCTGGCCCACAAATTGCGAGGGGCCTTTCCGACAGGCGGTGTGGGATGGCTGCTTCAAGAGAGCCACGATCCTGCATTTGGAGGCTGCCGTCTCGCACTCAGAGGGTATTGGATGGAGCGTCGTGCCAGGTGCGGAAGCGCAACGTGGGCGCTGCCGACGCTGAGCTCGACAAGAACGCCCCTTTCGAAATTCCTCCGCCCCACCCCATTGACGACGAACCTGCCCACTTACCTTGTCTTGCGCTTCTTCGTATCGCGGCGGTGTGCTCGATGCTCTCCCACGGGAGACACGCCGGCGGCGACGAGCGACGATAGGGCAGGCCCGCTCGGACCCGTCGATAGGACACCCAGCCGCGACCGCCGTAGTGGAAGCACACGCGGGCTCGCGCACGCGGCAGCTAAGTTGGCAAAAACACTCCTTTTGGGCAAGAGGGGGCGCTTGTGAACCAGCGAAGTTGCCCGCTCGGCGCGGGCGCCACTCGGGGGGGAGGGGGCAGGTTTGATCCTCCCCTCGTGCTTTGTCTGCGCACCATCAGTCGCATTGGGTTCTCAGCGCGCGTGCACATCCCAGCACAACGCAGCAACCTAGCTGTCGACAGCGCGAGCGCGCAGAGTGTCTGGCAAATCAAGTGGGACAGCGCCAGGTCAGGTCCAGGGAGCGCAGATTGCTGGGCAGAGCTGGATCCCAGACTCTGGCCGCCTCGCAGATCAGATGGAATATGGCCCGTGAGATGTTGTTCAGCTGGCGCCAAGACCTGATGAGTTGTGAATTGTGTTTTGTCTGACCACCGCCAGCATGCCGCTAGTCCTTCCCTCATTGCTTCATACTGTTTGTCGTGATTGATGAAGGTCGATGTCTCGTCTTTCAATGCCACGCGCAGAATGCCGTCCCCTCCTTCCCCGCGTCCGTTCCCCTTCTCCCCGCCGCTTGTGCTCGCTCGTGCTGCGCACGCGCACGCTGCTCGCGCCGGGGCTGGTCCACTATCCACTAGCGGTCGAGTTTCATTCGCCTGTCTTGTCTATGTTATTTTTCTCACCCCCCATTTTCATATCATACGTCTCTTTTCCAAATTCCCCCCCTCCTGGGTAGGCCCGATTTGTTTCAAGCGCACTCGGAGTCTCGCCTCACGCCCTGCGGGGTGTTATCAGTCCTTCCCCAGGTGTCTCGCTCACGTCGCGGAAAACGCAGACGGACGTTACAATGTGTCGCGCAGGTGCCATCAGGAATGCAGGGCGTGCTCGAGGTCGAGGTCCGAATTTCGGAGGGCATCGCGGGGCTGCACCGATCAGGACGCGAATGTGTTCGTGGGCAGAGACCATAACACGCATACATGGGGTAGTTTTGTCGTGCTCGACCCCTGTCTCTCCCCGGCCATGCACATCAATGCCCATGAACCACACGCGGACCAGCCCTGCCAACGGGGGACAGCCGCTGTCCCGCTTGATCGAACGAGGCGCTTTGACGTATTCGTCACCACCACCCCCGCACACTCCGCACACTCTGGCGCCGCACGAAGGCCCATTCAGGTAGGTCATTGCCAGCTTGGATAGTCTCTGAAGTGGGCCCTCGTCGATCTTGTTTTCAACATGCGCTGCGAACTGAAAGGTTTTTTCAGCGCTGGGCGCTGTTGCGACAGTCAGGTGGCTGAGCGCCTGGGCTCAGGCTCGACAACAGCATCTTATTTGAGAGCGGTCGCGTCTACTAGCTGCACGTTGCATCATGTCATGTCCGCGTTACTGCCAACCTCCGTCGGCAACCCTTTCTCCTCCCGTGCCCGGCCGCGTCGTTTGTTCCACTAGATCGACTCCGCGCTCGCGCGTTGCGGCTATGCCGTTTTTACGAGATTCAGCGTGAAGGATTGTCTCGGGACGTTCGACATGAGCAGGTCGCGGTCTGCATTGCGCGTGACCGCCACCATTCGTCCCGTCCCAGTGACACCCTTGCCCTGGCAGGAGCACTCGGAGGGCGAGACGGGGGCCGACTGGCTCCCGCTGGCGCCTTTCTGCCGTATCGCATATCATCATGCCGCGCCTTACCATTCAGGTTTGCACTTTCTTTTTGGATGGCGACCGTGGGGGAGAGGCCACTCGAGCAGTTGCTCCTGCAGGGTATGGCGCGGTCGGGCGCCATCCTAGCTCCGCGCTCAGAGCTCAAGCTCGTCGAGTCTAGGTTGCACGTTTTTTGTTGACTTGAGAGATGGTACATGGCGTCTGACCGCTGCGACTAAACAACGACTACGCGGTTGTTGCTAAAATCGTGTGGCAGTGGTTGAGTGATTGCCAGGTCGTTCTCGCGCTTGCCTGAAGATCTTCCGAAGGAGGACGCAGTGCCCAGAGCCACGGAAACTGCGTGCCGATGCAACGATTGCATTCATATGAGTTTGCTGCCTTACCTCCAGCGCTGCTGCAAGCCTACGCGCGAGCTCTGTGCCAGCGCCTGCTAAGTTACAATGGCATGCAGGCAGTCACGGAGGCAGTGAATGGTGGTTGGTGAACTTTTCATTCGGTTATTGTCAAGGCGACCTTTTCCTGGAAAGCAGTGCGTTTCAAGTTGGCTCGGCGGGGCCACTGCATTATTTTGTTTGCCGTCTAGAACCCCTGATGTTTCAGCTTGCGCCCTTCGCATACAGGAGTGCGTCTGCATGAAGTGTGTAATAGGTTTGCCGCGCAGCCGCTGGTGCCATAGAACGACATTGTTGTCGACCTTCGGTGCTGGGGGCTTGCCTTGTTTCATCTGCCAACGCAGATGTCCTCATCATTGTGTTCAGTTCCATGCGATGTCTTCCATAACGTCCACCCTATACGATTCGTACTTGAGCAGCGTCCCCATAGCTTGAGAATGGCAATCCTTCTCATCCGCCCTCTATGTTCCAGGGTCCACTGTCGATCCTGCTTCTGATCTCTCGTAACATTTTACACGTAAGCTTAAGCTCGGCCACAATTTCATTTATCACCAGTTTACCGGCATCATCCTCAGTATATTGACCAGGCCATATAGCATTACTCGCCTTGCGTCTCCTCATCCTACCCATGTTCTACATCTTCTGGCCCAACCCGTGCCCTGTCCGTAGAAGCTTGGCGTGGCCAGTAGAGGTGTGTCGATCCCTTCCACATTATGCCTCATTGTCGTAGTCGTTATCCTCCTTCCGTCCTTCGCTGTCGACCCCCGACCCTCCACGTTCCAGGATTTACCCTTGCCTTACCCCTCCATTTTACTGCGTATTATTGTTCTCGCGTCCACATCCATTCTACCCATTCTGCCCGCCTTCGAGGTACGCCCGCAAGAGCCCAGTCTATGGACACAGGCGTCTGAAATTCAGGAATCACATGAGGATGTCCCGCATCACCAGCTACACGGAGCAGTGGGTGTATTGGTGACCAGGGGCGCAATTTCCCTTCATGAGGAGGGCAGGAAATCGAGGCGAACAAGAGGCATCTTTAGCAGTGATGTCCGCAGGCTTCTGCACAACAGCCCCGAGTTCAGGAGCGGGCGCAAATTCCTCGTGATGCCGACGCACTGTTTGCGTTGCTTGCCAGGGCAGTGGTATCCACGTTACCCGGTGTTTCCAAATTGAGCGTTGGTTACGCTTGGCGTGGCGTTGACAGGTACGGAAGAGGACGATTGTTCTCGTGCCCTGGCGTTTGACTTTGAGATTACCCTGGGCCGTTGTTGTACACTAAGCTCTCCATGTTGCAGTTTTTTCGCTTGTGGTCGCTGGCTTGCCTTGTGCAGCTCGCTCTGCTTCGATTCCGTTTTCCTCAAACAGTGATTGCACATAGTGCCATTGGTATTCAAGTTGTCCTTTACTTTAGCCGAATGGATTAAGCAGGCTGCTGCTTAATTTCTTGTTCAACTGTTCTGCTTAAGTTCCTCCTTACGTTTCGTGCTGCTTGTCCCGCTTAACTTTCCTGTTTCGTGTCTTCCTTGGTTTTCGTGTTCACTTTCCTCCTGATCGCGATGCGGATAAGAGTGAGGGGGCGGTGGGGACGTCGGCAGTCTGCGAGACTCTGGAGAAGCCCGCCGCAGGCGCCAAAGCTTGACAAATTATACAACGAGCCCGCCGCAGACGCAGATTTTTTCTTCAAGCCAATGTGGATCGTTCGCGGGTGGATCGCAGGTGGGTCGCGGGTGGGTCGCGGGTGGGTCGCGGGTGGGTCGCAAGTGGGTCGCGGGTGATCCGCAGAAGGGTCGCGGGGTGGGTCGCGGGGTGGGTCGCGGGGTGGGTCGCGGGTGGGTCGCGGGGTGGGTCGCGGGGTGGGTCGCGGGGTGGGTCGCGGGTTGGGTCGCGCGTGGGTCGCGGAGTGGGCTGCGGGGTGGGTCGCGGGATGGGTCGCGGTGTGGGTCGCGGGGTGGAGCGCGGGTGGGTCGCGGGGGGGGGACGATGACAACAAACAAGAACAAACACAACAACACCAACAACACCAACAACAACAACAGCAACAACAACAACAACTACAGTCATTTTACCCTCATGTGCGATGCGGTTCACACGCAGCATGCAACCATCATGATAACCATCCCGATCATGGGGGATTATTGTTCTATCGCGGGGGTCCGTTATTCCCATTCCCAGATTTTCGGCGCAATGAGGTCTTGCAACCACCTCCTCTGGGGGGTTTTAACATATCCTGCCTCGAAAACACATGCCCGCTCTCTGCTGCGCCGATGCGAGACCGCCAGTGGAGCCCAGCCAAGGGTAAAGCACAAGGAAGTATCGAGCGACAGGATTGGCTTGGTCGGGATGGGTGCTGTCGGCGGCGAGGCAAGGACCTGGCCCTGAATAGGAAGGGGGGGCATTTCGAGCAGGGGTTTCGCTACTGCTGGGAGCGGCGCCAATGCAGAAGAGAATAGGGCACTAGTCCAGCGTGCAACATCACGAAATCTCGAGCGGGAGCGCTGTTTTTTTTGGGACGGCGGTTGTCCGCGGCGAGGAGAAACACCGCCTTGAGTAAGAAGGGAAGAAAGCTTGAGCAGGAGGGCTATCGGCGGCGAGGAACAGCACCGTCTTCAGGAAAAAGAAAGAGGGAGGAAGCCTCGAGCGGGAGCGTTGTTCTTGCTGGGGCTGGCGCCAATTCAAACGAGAGTTGGGCGCCAGTCCAGGGTAATTTTTCGGGCGGGAGCAAAAGCACCAGGAGCGCTGGTTTTGGTGGGGCGGCGGTTTTGGGCGGCGAGCAAAAGCACCAGCTCTGGGTAAAAAAGAAGGAAATCTCGAGCGGGAGCGGTGTTCTTGCTGGGGGCGGCGCCGATGAAAGAAACAGTAGCGCGCCAATCCAAGATAAAACGGGAAGAAGTCTTGAGCGGGACCGTTGGTTTTGTTGAAGGTGGTTTTCGGCGGCGAGAGCACCGGCTCTGGGCAAGAAGAAAGGAAGTCTCGAGCGGGAGCGATGTTGTTTGGGGGCCGGCTTTGGCGCCCGCCCCAAACCGCACGAGCGTGAGCTTGTTTCAATGAAAATGTAGCCGGCGCCGAGGCGAGAGCGCCAGGGCGCCTGGGGGGGTCCAATAATAATTGTTTAGTAATTTGCACTCAACAACAACAACAGCAGCAGCAGCAACAACAACAGCAACAATAATCGTCTTAAGACTGTTCGCTCTTATCTGCTCGAGTGTTCCCAAACCCTCGATACCCGCCCTCTCCGTCTTCGGTCGTCCCTTTTGGGTGGTATACTTTTCTTCCTCTCAGGCCGGGCCTCGGCAAGCGGCGGGGCGGCCGCGGACCGTCGGCCTGGCTAGCGGCAGCGCTGATCGGCGGCAGCCCGACCTCAAGAGGGGCGGACAGAGGACCGACCACGACGACGACGACGACGACGACGACGTCGTCGACGACGACGGCGACGACGACGACGACGAGCGAAAGCGAGAGCGAGAGAGAGAGAGAACGACAGCAGGGCCACGAAAGGCACGAAGTAGGCCACGAAGGGCGACAGCGGGGACACGAAAGGCGCATGGGGCCACGAAGAGCGCGAACGAACGGGGGCCACGAAGAGCAGATCATGCGGGGCCACAGAAGGCAATGACGGGGCCACTGAGGAACTGAGGATAGTAACTGGGCCACGCAGGACAGTGCGGGGGCCACGACGGGCGCGAACGAGCGGGGGCCACGAAGGGCATACGTATGTTGGACCGCGGAAGGCAAGGACGGGGCCGCTGAGGTCAGCAACGGGGCCACGAAGGGCAGCGAGGCGGCCACGAAGGGCGACAGCGGGGCCACGAAAGGCATGCATATGGGGCCGCGACGGGCGCGAGCGAGCGGGGGCCACGAAGGGCATGCATATATGAGGCCACGAAGGGCACCGAGGGGGCCGCGAAGGGCGACAGCGGGGCCACGAAGGGTAGCGAGGGGGCCACGAGGAAGGGCTGCAACGGGGCCACGAAAGACAGCGAGGGAACCACGAAGGGCTGCACCGGGGCCACGAAGGGCAACGAGGGGGCCACGAAAGGGCAGCGGGGAGCCACGCAGGGCTGCAACGGGGCCACGAAACAAAGCGAGGGGGCCACGAAGAGCTGCAATGTGGCCACGAAGGGCAGCGAGGGGGCCACGAAGGGCATACGTATGTTGGACCGCGGAAGGCAAGGACGGGGCCGCTGAGGTCAGCAACGGGGCCACGAAGGGCAGCGAGGCGGCCACGAAGGGCGACAGCGGGGCCACGAAAGGCATGCATATGGGGCCGCGACGGGCGCGAGCGAGCGGGGGCCACGAAGGGCATGCATATATGAGGCCACGAAGGGCACCGAGGGGGCCGCGAAGGGCGACAGCGGGGCCACGAAGGGTAGCGAGGGGGCCACGAGGAAGGGCTGCAACGGGGCCACGAAAGACAGCGAGGGAACCACGAAGGGCTGCACCGGGGCCACGAAGGGCAACGAGGGGGCCACGAAAGGGCAGCGGGGAACCACGCAGGGCTGCAACGGGGCCACGAAACAAAGCGAGGGGGCCACGAAGAGCTGCAATGTGGCCACGAAGGGCAGCGAGGGGGCCACGAAGGGCTGCAACGGGGCAGCGAAACAAAGCGAGGGGGCCACGAAGGGCAGCAAGGGTCCACGAAGGGCAGCGAGGGGGCCACGAAGGGCTGCAACGGGGCCACGAATGGCAGCGAGATCCCGATTCTTAAATAATCTGTGACGGAGTCCGAAGCGTGAGCGCGATTCCTGGTTCAACACCCCTCACGAGGATCGTGGCCTCCGAGGGGGGAGCCGCAATCGACTACCCCCCCTCCCGCCCCAAGAGGCCCCCAAGAGCCCTCCAAGAGGCTCTGGGGGCCCCCAAGGCGCCGCCAAGGAGCCCCAAGAGACCCCCAAGAGGTCCCCAAGAGGCCCTAAAGAGGGCTTTAGGGCCGGCGGAATGAGCGAAGCGATTAACTAATCTGTGAGGGAATCCGAAGCGTGAACGCGACTCCTGGGAGCCTGAGTGTCGGGAACGCGGCGCTTGAGTAAATTGCGGGAAATTCCAACGCAAGCGCGCTATTCTTGAGTGTGTTGCAAGTAAGTCTCCAGCGAGGGCGCGACTCCAGAGCGCCGAAGGAGCAAAGCGAGAGCGCGATTCCTGAATTAAATGCGAGGACGTCTCGGGCGGGAGCGGGGGTCCTGGCTAACATTCGAGGAAATCTCCGGTTGGAGCCGTTGTTGTTGCAACCCGAGGGCCAACAACACAGTTTGACCTTCAAGGCTTCCTTTTTTATAAAAAACAGGGTGCGAGCGCCGGGAGGGGCACTTCACTTAAGTGAAGTGCCCCTCCCGGCATTCACTTAAAGTGATCACTTGAAAAATAGGATGTGCACCGGAGGGGAGGGCCAACAGTAATTTGTCTTCAGTAGTGAGAGTTCAACAATAGCAATCATTTTACCCGCATGCGCGATACTTCCACGAAGCAGGCGTCCATCATGATATCCATTCCCAGCATGGGGGACTATTGCTGTATAGCGGGGTCCGTTGCCAGATCTCCCGCCCAATGAGGTCTTGCAAACACTTCCTCCGAGGATGTTCGACATATCCCGCCTCGAAAACGCATTCCCGCGCCCTGCGCCGATGCGAGACCGCAAGTGCAGCCCCAGCCACGGGTAAAGCACAAGGAAGTATCGAACGACAGGATTGCCTTGGTGGAAATGGGGGCTGTCGGCGGCGAGGCGAAAACTTGGCCTTGAATAGAAAGGCAGGAAGTCTCGAGCAGGGCCGCTGTTGTTTCTGGGAACGGCGCCAATTCTGAAGAGAGTAGGGCGCCAGTCCAGCGTAAAACAAAACGAAGTCTCGAGCGGGAGCGCTGGTTTCGTTGGGACGGCGGTCGTCGGCGGCGAGGAGGAACGCCGCCTTCAGCAAGAAAGGAGGAAGTCTCGAGCGGGAGCCGTGGTTTTGTTGGGACGGGGGCTGTCGGCGGCGAGGAACAGCACCGCCCTGAGGAAAAAGGGAGGAAGTCTCGAGCGGGAGCGTCGTTCTCGCTGGGAGCGGCGCCAATTCGAAAGAAAATCGGGCGCCAGACCAGCGTAAAAGAAAAGGATGTCTCGGGCGGGAGAGCTGGTTTTGTTGGGACGGCGGTTTTCGGCGGCGAAGAGGGGCACAGCCTTGAGTAAAAAAGGGGGGAACTCTCGAGCGAGAACGTTGTTCTTGCTGGGGGCGGCGCCGATGAGAGAAAGAGTAGCGCGCCAGTCCAGGTAAGATGGGAGGAAGTCCCGAGCGGTAGCGCTGGTTTTGTTGGGACGGCGGCTTTCGGCGGCGAGAGCACCGGCCCTGGGTAAAAAAAGAGGAACTCACGAACGGGAGCGTTGTTGTTATTGGGGGGCCAGTGTTGGCGCCCCCCCAAACCGCTCGAGCGTGAGCCTCATTTTCAATGAAAATGTAGCCGGCGCCGAGGCGAGAGCGCCAAAGCGCTTGGGGGGTCCAAGAATATCGATTGTTTAGGAATTTGCATTCAACAACGCAACAAGCAGAATCCTCACCACGGATTCTCACTTCAGCCACGCGCCCAGGGACCATGAATGACCGTTCGGCCCCTTCTCTCTGATTTTGCCACATGTTCTGCTTTGTTTCCTGATTCATGTTCCGGCTTGCTTTTCCGATTGAATTCCTGTTGAAATTCTTGTCGAGCCGTCCTGCTCAATTGTCCTGTCAGTTTCTTGCTTACTTGTCTTGCTTAAGTTCCTGCTTAATGTTCTTTCTGAAGGTCTTGCTGAAGTTTCCTGTTTCGTCTCCTGCCTCATATCTTGCTTAATGTACTGCTAAATGCTCTGCTTAGTTTGTGTGCTTTTCGCATAAGAATCATATTTTCCACCATGGACGTCCGATCAGTTTCGCAGCGAGCTACTGCCGTCATCTGTGCGGTGGGTATGCAATTTCCGTCCCTACGTTTGCACAGACGTCCGTTCCAGATTCCATCTCAGCTAAATATCATGCGTTTTTGCTCCCCCCCACCCCACCCCACCCACCAACCCCCCTCGCACCGGCAGGAGGCAATGTCAGCAGGGAGCAAAGTTTGGTTGTCGATACCTACGTGGGCTACCTCTTACGAAAATCCAGGAAATGACAAATACGAAATCGGGTCCAAATTGTAAGATTGTTGGTCCGCAACGGAATTGGCGGTTAGGGAATATCGAAAGCTTGTGAGTCATGCGTCAAGACGCATGTTGCCGAGCGGTCGATATTAATAGTAAGTGTGGGCACGTTGCGACCGAATGCGGGCTAGTTTGCTTCACAATATGTGACCACTGCTACGACAAATTCAACCACCTCATCTGGAGTGGCATCGACAACATGTAATACATAGTTGGCAGGGGAATGTGTTGTGGGGTCGATTTCACATTTGCCCTCATTGTTTTTCTCCCCATCTCTTTTGTCCAAGATTGCGGAGTCTTCTTCAGGCAGGTGGTATTGAGACGGGGTGGGGAGATTTGAGGTAATCGCGACGACGTGGCCCTGTTCTACATATCGAATATTGTGTGATAGGTTGTTACAGCAATTGCTTACAGACGCAATTGGGTTCGTTCTCCGAACGGCTCCCATGTGGAAGGTCCTCGCAGTTCCTACCTTCTGACCGACCGCGGGCACCCAAACCCATGAGTGGTTTAACACAAACGCTCTCCCGACCTCTTGGCCAATCTACTTCATCCAGCTTGCGTCGGTGCATTGCCTGCTGCCCATCTGCGTTATGCATTCTGTCGGCCCTGCTGATCAGTTACCCATCTCTGTTGCCTCTCAGCAACGCTTCCCAGGCTTTCCGCTGCCATCTGCAGTGCGTTTCATGTTCGGGAGATGATGACAAAGTGTGATTCGGTATGCCTTGGAGGCGCGTCGCCCAGCAGGTATGTGCACCACCATGTGAGATGTCACGTGGACGCCCCGCCGCCAGGTACCCAGACCAGCATAAGTTCAACATGTATTACGGCCCAGCGTCGCATCCAGAGAACCCAGATTTCCCTGCGCCCTCAGGTGGGCCTTCCCCTGTTGCCTTTCTCCGCAGCAGGGGTGCCATGCGGTGGGACGCCCCTGGTAGATGGCAGTGCTCAGGCACGATTGAACAACATGATTTGGTCTGGCCTTCATGTTTGATCTTGTTGTGGTCTGATTTCAAGCCACACCCATTGTCTAGGTCTTTCAAGTCGTGGTAAATCTGTCCACACCACTTCCACATCAACCGAAATTACAATCATCATGCTGCCAGGCTTGCTCTGGTGCCGCCTGGTTTCTGGCTCGAAAACTACATGAGTTCCCGCATGTAAGCGGGGACTGGAATGGCGGAGGAGCATCTCGCAAGGACATCCCTGCAAGGCGTCACGGCGCTGAATCATGTGAGCACTGCACGGAAACAGTGAGGGCATTCGCGAGAGATATTGAATGCAGATGTTTTTGTTTATGTGTTGCCAGAGCGGTATTCCACCCCCAGGCAAGGTGTGGTTAGCTGAAACACAACAGCGTCGCGCTGCGCGCTGACATGTCCGCACTGATGTGGTCGTAACACGTTGTTTTCGAACATCTGAGCAAGTGTGATACTGCTTGTATTGAGTCCCTGCATCCTTCCATACCTTGCTTACTTCTGCCTGGAACTGAGCTGGATAGACAAGGCAGGCCGTGCGGGAGGCACATCGCATTCGTTTTACAGACTGCGCGCTGAAAGCCAGTATTCAATGGCCCACATATTGGTTATGCGCCGTCCTACTTCAATACTTCGCGGCTTTCTAATTGAATTGCTTGTCGTGGGCGGGCCGATGCTAGATCTAATTGAACCGCCTTCCCGTTTCATGTTTCCACTCATTTCATCCGAGCGGCATGCACACGATCGGTGCCGGTCTGTTGTTTTCGACGTCTTTGCGTGGAGCCGTCGAGAATCATGCATGCATTCAAACGTTGGTTCTAGAGTGATGTCCTTCGCCTTGCGATGGTGACGCGGGGTCATGCGGCGAGGAGTGGAAATTCTGTGTGTGTGCGTATGCCTGGGATGTCCGTCGAAGAGGAAGTGGATGATCTCGTTTCTTCGAGACTCGTAAACATGATATCGAAGACGCACGTCGCAAACTATTACCGCCCCCTGCCTATCTGGAAACGCTTGCGTGGTGAACTGTCGAACGATGGTTCGGCCCTGCAGGAGGTCTGGGTGTTCTCCCAGCGCTTGGGGGGACCACTGGGGAAACTCTTGGGAGTGGCCCTCTGAAGCCACATTTAGGTTCTTTTCTGGCCATTTTGACCTTCTCTTGAGGCTCTTTGAGCCACCCTGTGGCTCTCTTGGGCCGCCTTAGGGCGCTCTCGGGCCGTCTGGCGCCTTCGGAGACCGTCTTGGGGACGTCTCTGGACCGCCTTGGAGAACGCATTGGGCTCGTTGGGCCGTCTTGGAACTCTCTTGTCCAATGTTGGAAGCCATCTTTGAGGCCATCTTGGACAGTCCAGTCTTGCGGTGGTCCTCTTAGGAGCCTCTTGGATTGTTTGGGAGCCCTTTTTGGCAATCATAATGTTTGCCTGTCAGGGTCCTCGAGGCTTTGTTGAAGGCCTCTTGAGCCGTCTTGAGTCTATCACTGGAGCAGTGTTTGGATCATATTGGCCACTCTTGGTACCATGTCGGCCTCCCTCTTTCTCATCCCCCTTTCTCCCTGCTTCTCCCCCACCCCATCCTATCCCACGTGCTTCCCTATGCCTGTCTCCACGTCCTCCTTACGTGCCCCTACAAGGTGGATGGCCCGCCCCCGGTGGACCCTACGACATACCCATGTACACAGCTAAGAAGGCGATGTCCGGCTGGGCCCCCGCGCAGTTGTCGGCGTCCGTGGGGCGACAGGGCAAGAGGTGCGGGTTCGTCGGGGCCAGCTTGCGGACCGTGGGCGCCGCCGCCGCCCCGCCTCTCGGGGGGGGGCATGGCTTGGCTCTTCCTGCTGCTGCGCCCCCGCCCCCTCGCCCTGACCATGCGCTCCCACCCGTGGGGCCCTTGGGGCCCGTGTCTACCCCGCCCACCCCCCATCCAGCTCTCCACACCCTTGCCCCTGCCCAGACCTTCCCCACTCCTGCCCACCTCACCTCTTCTCCACGCGTGAGGCCTGGTGGACTGGCATTCTTGATGTTCCCACTGCGCCCCCGTCTCCCAGCGTGTTGGCAGAAGGGCTGGGCGCCTTCCTTCATAGCAAGCAACTTAGCCTCAGGTGGTATGTGTCTTCGTTCGAGGGGTGCCACAGGAATTTTCACCCTCAGGAACTTGCAGGGCGCACGGCAGAAGTAGGCCCCGCGGTGGTTACTCTGGAGAAGAAGAATAAGTCTCCAGGCCACGTTTCGGAACTCAACAACAACAGCGTGGGCAGCTGAGCCCCAGACCGGCAGACGCGGCGCGCCTGAATCGATTCGAGGGCCCAGCTCTTGAATTCAGAGGGTCCGCTTCAACACGTGGGCAGGCGGATGTGATCTTTTACCATTCTGCTGATTGCGGCGGACCATGGAGGCATCACAGGACGGCTGCCAGGGGACCGTCGTTTGCCAGTGGTCTCGTGAAGCAGCACAATTGCGTTTAATTCACAGCTCGTGTCCCACCGTCGTCGCAGACATCATTGCTTGTGCACCGCATGGACTTATACATTACCACGGACTTGGGGCCCAGTCCAGGTATGAACATCGTCTTCCCATGACTAATTGCTACAGCCAACACTGTTCATGCCGATCGAATTTCAACGGTTCTGGCGAAATTGGCGTCAGGTTATCCGTGTTTCGGGCATGTGAAAAATAGTCCCCAAACAGTGGTTCTTACATCGGTTGATAACTAATGGGGTGGGCATGCCGAGACGCCGCCTGGTGCTCGATTAGAGGCCGCCTGTGGGCGCCTCGTGGGCGCCCCTTGCGCTGGGTTGGTCTGTCTGGGTGCGCCCGCTCGTGGCAACCCGAAGGCGCCGCGTGGGCGCCCCGAGGGCCGCCGCGCGTGGGCGCCTCGTGGGCGCCTCGTGGGCGCCCCGTGCGCTGGACTGGTCTGCTGGGTGTTCGCCTGGTGCCTGCCAGAGGCCGCTTCGTGGGCGCCCCATGGGCGGCCGCCCGTAGGCGTCCTGCACCACACAAGTTCCCATGTCAAAGGAAGAGTGTACTCTAACACCACCACCACTCCCGGCATTATCGGCACTCCCTGGGGCATTGCAACTTAGATGTCATTGTGTTTCGTCGCTGATTCCGTCCATTAGTTTAGAGCATCCCAGCCAAACCGGTATCGCCCCCACCCGCCATTATTCTTGTCGGGCTTGGCGGATTCCAAGTAACCACCAGAGCGAACCCCGAGACCACGCAGATCACATGGGCCAGCAGTGGGAAGTACCTAGGGCTTTCTAGTGGACCTGGCAGACAAAAAGAGACATGGACAAAAGCAGTGGCGAAGTACATGGATTGCTTAAGCGTATGGCGATTGAGTGATCTCGGCTTTTGCATGGCTCTGGTTGCCTACAACGTGTATGTGTTATCTACGCTTTTATGTGTCGCCCAACGGGAGTTCCCGCCACAACATGTCCTCGGCAAGGAACGAATTTCGGTTCGACGGGTGGCTCTTGGGCCAAGGGCTTGGTGCTGCCTTGCTGAACTACAACAAGAGGGAGAGTGTGGGCTGGATGCCCACATTCGGCCTCTGGGAAGTTCCCTGCAAAGCTGCGATGATGCGAGCGCACGCCTGGGAATCGAGAGGGGACGGCGGCGTGAATTGTGCCGGATGGTTGCATACTTTGCGACAGCACGAGTCAGCATTGACCATCTGATGCGCGTGCGCGGCGGCACAGGTGGCTCGACTCTCACATTCCCGCGGTCGTTCTGGCGGTCGTCGCGGAGCATGCTCGCGCCGGTACGCATATTCATGCAGCACGCGCGACCATCAGCGAAGTCAGAGTTGGGCCAGCTACGGAGGTGAACGATCGGAAACTCCGAAAACTACACAGACATGGTTCGTAGCCCGCCACCGTTCACGGGATGGATACACCATTGAGCGGAGGCTCCGCGTGAGACTGGCAAGATTGAGGCTCACAGAATTGCCGGGCCGCGCGGCCCGCAGGATCACGCAACATGTGCAGAGGTTTTGTAGATTGGTGCCTCTTTGGATTAGGGCAGCCATGACAAGCACGATTTTCAAACGATGGACAACTGACCGGAGAATGCAGTCGATGCGTCGTGGGCGGTGGATTTGCGTGCTCGGTTGTTCAGGCACGGCCGACGATTCGTTGGAGCTCTCGGTCCGTTGCCCCGTGGGTCGCGCATGGTCGTGGGGACGATTGCGCAGGGGCAACACGGGACCAGCCATGGCGTGTGGCGTGCTTGCAATTTGTTTGACAGGTGAAACATTACAGCGGCAGCGATCCACACATGTGTTTTTTTATACCGTGCAGTGAAGCTCTGCCGCTGCCACGCCTCATACGCTAGCTTCGGCTCCGACGCCAGCACCGACACCAGCGCAATATCCAACATTAGCTGCGATTCCTTAGCCCCGACTCCCCTGGTTTCCCCGTTTCCGACTCCTTTGCGGATTTCACGGCTCCAACGCATGATCCGACCCGTGCTCTTCCAACAACGCCGGTTCCGATCCAGGCACCGATTCCACCGCCATTTCCACCACCAGCGTGGGTTATCTGTCTCCAGCACGTCGGCTCCGTCCACCTTCCGACGCCAGCTCCGATGCCGATTCCAGTCCCGACCCTAGCGCCAGTGTCAACACGGATTCCGACTTCCCAGTTTTGTTTCCCTTGCTGCTACCGTGGTCCCGACGCCAGCTCCTACCCCGCCTCCGACGCCAACTCCAGATCCGCCCCCAGCTCGATAACCCTGGCGACCCCCCCTGCTCTGAGCCCCCCGCCGCCATCACGGCTCCGACGCCAGCTCCGACCATTTCCGACCCCTCCTCCGACGACGATACCGGCTCCAACCCCAGCGCCGACACCAGCGCCATTTCCACCAGTTCCGACTCCCTAGCTCCAGCACCTTTGCCACGTCACTCGACGCTTGCGTCGACCTCCACGCCAGCTCTGGCTCCGACCCCAGCTCCGACACCAGCGCCAGTTCCAACACTAGCTCCAATTCCCCAGCTCCGACTCCCTTGCCGTTGCCACGGCTCCGACGCCAGCTCCGACCACGCCTCCGACGCCAACCCTTGCTCCGACCCCAGCTCCGACTCCTCTACCGCTTGTTGCCAGCTCCGACTTCAGTCCGTCGCTTTCCCCGTTTCCGACGTCATCTCCCAGTCCATGTTTGCCTCTCTGGTTGCGGATTATTTTTCTACCCCAAACACGTTGTTGGTTTCGTTTTCTGCGCCAAGCCTAGGGAGGTGACCTATGGATTGCCGCGACATGACGGCGCGACTTTGGCATGCAGGAGATGGGCGTCAGTATAGCGGGCAACACCTTGGCAGCGAATCCGATACCCAGTCCCTGAGCTACGACATGCCGGTGTGATCCCAGCCTGCGCTTTGTTTCAGCGTTTCTTGGGAGCCCCCAAACCAGGAGGCGAGATATCAGGTGGCGACCGGGCATCCCCCAAAAAGTCACCCCTGGGTTTTGGAAAAGGGGGTCACTGCCGGTTTTGTGTTTCTTGGGCCCACCAGCGTTCGGGACATCCTCGGAAAAACGCACGAGTCCCCAGACCAGGTGGTGACACCGAATCGCCCGAGACTCAGCGCTGGGTGTTGTCACCACCGCTGACGCTTGGGGACTACCAAGTTTCTTGTCTCTTTTCATCCCCTTCTCTCCTAGTTTCGTCGTTGTTGTTAGGATGTTTCTTCTAAATTGATGGTCTGCGAGGCCCCGATGGTCCCGATGGCGACGTTCGCATGCGTCTGCCCCACTTCGCGGCCTCGTAGGAAGCTCCACCAAAGGCCCCAATAGCGACGTTCGCACGCGGCCAACCCACCGAGCATAGCGCTCCGTGGCCCCATAGGGAGCTCAACCTAAGGCCCCAGCGGCATTCGCATGCGCCCGCCCCACCAAGTACAGCGATTCGCTGCCCCAAAGGAAGCTTCACCGAAGGCCCCAATGGCGACGCTCGCATGCGTCCGGCCTACCCAGCACAGCGCTTCGTGGCGCCCACAGGACGCTCCACCTATGGCCCCAGTGGTGACATCCGAATGCGTCCGACAGCGCTTCGTGGGCCCATGGGGCGCTCCACCAAAAGCCCCAGCCGCGACGTTCGCTTGCGTCCGCCCCGCCCAGTACAGCGCCTTGTGGCCCCATAGGGAGCTCCACCGAAAGCCCCAGCGGCGACGTTCGCATCCGTCCCACCCGCCCATCCCAGCACCCCTCAAATGTTTCGCAGTGCTCCACCGAATTGTTGACGCTTCGCGAACCCCCACCAGCCGTTGTCTCGACACAACTACGGCTGGGAACGCACTGCGCGCCATTTTGGCCGCGCTTGGCTTGCTCCTGGGCGACTGATCCTCAGACTCCCTGGGTTGCAGCTTGCACGACCGCCTCAGGTGACTGACCCCTCAGATTCCCTGGGCTTGCACGACCGCCTGGCCTCTCAGACGCCCTGGGTTGCCGCCCCCCTCGCCGCCTGATCCGCGGCCCCCGCGCGCGCCCGGGAATTCAGTCGCGGCCGCAGCCCGACCGTGACTGCTCGCCGCCGGCGCTTCCGCCTACGGCTGTAAAAAAAAATCCCCACCAGCCTAGGCCTGCTTGTGCTAGGTAATTTACGACCTCGCGCAGCCCGCTCGGACCTTGACACGCCGTCGGCGCGTTCGCCTGCGGCTGGTAAAACAAAAAAAAAAAAAAAAATCCCCACCAGCCTGCCCCCTCTCGCCGACCCGCCCGCCGAAGCGCCGCTGAGGTCGCCGGCCCGTCGGTTTTAGGCAATTAGGCTCTTGCGCGACCCGTTCGGACCTTAC